CAATTCCATGCAAATGTCAGTCTTGCCATGAAAAAAAAATTATTTCTACCAAAAATAGCTTAACCGTTTCTGCATTTTTTTGGTGTAAGGAAGTACTCTACTTTAGAAATACACAAAAATGTATCTGTCAGTGTTTTCAAACTATTATATTTGATTTACCAAAGTGTCAATTAAACATCTGTCACATCCATAAATGAAAAGTTTAGCTTCCACAACGAAGCTTTTTCCTTATAAATGCAAAAATGTCAAACAAAATAAAATCAACGATGTTTGTTCTATAGTGAGCCAACTCTTTTTCCTTTTGATTAGCTTTATTTCTTTTGGGTTGTGCAGTTTAATTCACAGAATTTCACCAAAAATATGATGTAGACTGTAAACTCATACTTTTTTTGTCACATCTATAACGCATGTTTATTTTCCACATTTAAAATATAAAAAATGTTTACAGATCGATATATTTCTGATTCTATAACTCTGTGGTTAGTTGTTTAGCAAAATATAAACAGTTGCTTCAATATCATGTTAACGTATACTTTCTATGTGAATTTATATTTTGAGTTTTTACTGCAAACGTCACGTCCATAGCGCCGGAATTGCTCATAGATATGTTGTCATTATTTATTAATTATAAAATAAGTTCTACAGGAAACTAGGGTTGTCACGATACCATTAATTAATCTTACGTTACTATACCAGCTGAAGTATCACGATACCAAGAAGTATTGCGATACTGTAATTGTAACTCAAATTATAAAGAAAACTGTCAGAAATATACTATATTTTATAATATAATAGACCTACTTTTTATGTAATTCATAATTCCCTTAAGGCCAAAAAGTTTTATTTGAACACCACTTCACCTAAAAGTTATTCATTGTTTTTGTTTATTTTATAGATAACTGACCAACAAAAGCACAATGAAATAAAAACACAAAAGAGCATTTTTCGAATAAAATTAGGCTATTAAGTGGTCAAAAATTGTTTTCATATTTTCTGTTGCTATTTTGCGTTTTTCATCTTTGTCTTTCAGTCTTATCAGGTATTCAAAGTAATTCAAAATTTCACTTTGTGAGTTCTTTTAAAGAGATTGTCATGGTTAGTTACTAAATCATATTGACAGGAACAGAAATGAACCGATTTCGATGTGCGTTCGAACTGAAGCGTTAGAAAACATGCAATAGGCTACCATAAAAAGCTATGAAGCATTCTTAAAGGGCTCTACAGACTATTCAAATAAAACAGTCTATTGTTACTAAATGTGTGAGCATTTTAGTGACTTTTCCACATGCAACATCTATTGTAGATAAACAATTAATGACGATACTACCGTTTGCAAACTTCAGTGGCACCGCCAGTATTTTGGAGCCATGGTATCGCGATACTACCTATAATATCGTGCAACCCTACAGGAAACATAATAACATAAAAATATATCATGTGTTTAGAAAATTAAGCCATATAGATAAGTGTATTATAGATGTATAATTGCTATATAATTTAATGGCGTAACTAGCAGACTTTTATAATGCTGGTTTAGCATTAAAATGTTATACATTAATACAAAATGCTGGTATTTCTAATCTCTTTCTGTTTGCTAGTATTTAAAATGTAGTTTTACGAAAAATAAAAATAGCTTTAAATGTAAATCATGAAATCACATCCAGATCAGATTTTACATCAGGTAGATTAAATGCAAAACAGAATACCAAGAAGAAATATATTTTGCATTACGAAAACTAAGCTTTTATTAATGTTATTAAATGAATGTTTACAGTAATTATGCAGTTAAATAACGATAAAAATTGCTGAATGAAAAATGTCCTACATTAAAAACAATACTGATATTTTGACCACAGTATTGTCCATTTCTAATCTCAGTATATGCATGTTCATGTTTTAATATCCATATTTTTATTTATTCAACATCAGTCCGACAGTAGATTAGATGGTAAACATCATATGCAGCAGCAGCGCAGTGACTTGGAAAATGAGAAGAGCGCAAATCGTCTTAGTAACCGAGGTCACGGATTAACCTTTGGTTTATGTATCTTGCTACCAGATGTGTGACTAAATAAAATGCGTGCAATATTTTTCCAGCCAGTTCCCGATAAAAGTTATTTACAGCAGATGATCTAAAGGAAACGTTGCATTTTCTCAGTGCTACGTTTTCATGAATATATTTTTAATGCGCATTTTGGAATATTGCATATAAAAAGGCTTAAGATGTGCATCGTTTTTAAAAATTAAAAGTTGAGTTTCTTGCTTAAATTCAACAACACTTGTAAAGCTTTTAAATCCAGATGTAAGAGATAAGACACCATCACAATTGTAACAAATCAGATTAGACAGGTTGAAAAAATGACTAGAGTCTAACTTGCCAGAATAATAGATGTCGCTAAAACACGTGAGCCGAACGTGAGATCATAAAACGGACCTTAAACACAAACAGACTGACCCACATTCAAAGCATGAGAGTGGAAAAACAGCAGATTTCCCTTAGCCTGGCGAACAAAGCTTTTCGCAGTGGATGAACTGCTGCTTTCCCATGATTCCTTTGTGGCAGTCCAGCTGAACGCATGCCTACACTCGGCCCAGCCGCCCGTGTGCCAAGATGTGCAGCGGTCAGTGGCTGCTCGCTCTCGGCCTGGGTTCTAATCCTCACACTGAACTCATCCTGGCCTGCGGGAAAAAGCTCTAATTGGGGGATTTTCTCCATCATTAACCTTGATGAGCAGCCTTCCCACCCTCCGTTCCCATCCGCGCATTCGCTAATACTTCCTACATCCATCACCGTAAAGTCAGCCACAATACTTACTTCTGTATTTTGCTATGGATAGTTTGTTTAAGCAGCTAAAGCCACTGTTGTGCTGTTGTATTTGAGACATTTGTCAGGTTTTTATCCTCAAACTGCTCTCGTGTGTAGCACTAGTTTCTTACACATCTCATCCAAAGCCTTCTGTTGTGTTTTGATGGGATTTTTGACTGTTGTAGCTGTGAAATAACTGAAATCATTCAGCTTAGTGATATTGAACTGTAATGTGCTCAAAACCTGCCGGAACTACTTTAGCTGTGCGTTTATCTGTAAATAACTGCACATCTTAGAATGTTCATCAGCCAATCAGAATCAAGCATTGAACTGCTCCATAGCATATTGCTGATTTTAGCATTAGTGCTAAATTAAAATAGCCAACTTGTGCGGAACTCTCAGGACTACATCCTAGCATTGTTGTACAAGTGTTCAGAGTGCATTGGGTTGTTAAAACACTTAAAAATAACAGCATGATGCTACAGGCTACTTTTCAAAGCTGGAGTAAAATAAAAAAAAATGTATATACATATATATATATATATATACATATATATATACATATACATATATATATATATATATATATATATATATATATATATATATATATATATACATACATATATATACATATATATATACATATATATATATATATATATATATATATATATATATATATATATATATTTATTTATTTATTATTTTTTTAAAGTCATCCCAATTAACAAAGATTTACAAAAATGGCCAAAGCACTACATTATGCATGTTAGGCCAGTAGGTGGAGACATCACTTGGCAAAGAAATGCCACATTTGCCTGTTTTTGGTTGTCAATAAATTGAACACATACTCCTATAGGCTGAACATAATACACACGTGGCTAATAAGTATTAAGTAATGGTACTGCTTTCAAAAACTTGCACTTTGGTACCTGTTTTTAGCTTCCTAAAAGGGTGTCATACAAATTTACCCTTAAACATATAGCTCATTGCTATCCAGTTAGGAGGATGTTGATATGTGTTAGCAGAAATAATATGGGATATTAGGTTGTTGGTGGTTGCCAATAAGTTGATTTACATTCTTTATTGACATTGTTTCAGGAAAAACCCTTGAAAAGGATCGTTACGGTGAAAAGTGTTCGCTAGATTTATTAAAACATGTTCTTCACAAATGTCTCTTTGAGTAACTTTGAGGAAAAGATTCTTTGAGGAACCAAACTGGTTCCTTCAGTGCAAGAACCCCATTTTTGGAATCTCTTTTTAAAGAGTGTATCCTTGGGTGTTGTGCTCAACAGTTCTAGGTTATTTGTTTTTGCCATGTTGTTGCTATCCAGGCAAAGCAGGCAAGAAGGTTTGCTGGGTCACTGGTTCGAACCTCGGCTCAGTTGGCATTTCTGTGCAGAGTTTGCATGTTCTCCCTGCGTTTGCGTGGGTTTCCTCCAGGTGCTCCGGTTTCCCCCACAGTCCAAAGGCCAAATTGTCCGTAGTGTATGTGTGTGTATGTGTGTAGATGTTTCACAGGGATGGGTTGCGGCTGGAAGGGCATCCGCTGCGTAAAAACATGCTGGATAAGTTGGCGGTTCATTCCTCTGTGGCGACCCCGGATTAATAAAGGGACTAAGAAAAGACAAGAAAATTAATAAATGTTGCTATCCATTAGCAAAGGCATTGGGAATGTTTAAGCACTTTCTTGTGCAGTTGGTCAGAGTGCTTTTGACTGCATTTCTCTCCTGAATTGACATATGAAATATGAATGTAAAAATCAGGACCAACATAAGAATGTTGTGAAGATCATGTTAAACTGTGCAACAGGAAAGAACCATGTTCACACCCTTTGCTCTTTTCCCAGCACATGTTTTTATGGGGGCCCCAGATGGCCCCTGCAGTGTCCCATCTGTCCGAGAGCATTGCTCACACATCATGAATACAACAGAGCACCAGGCCCTCTGAACATGTGCCTGAACAGCAGCGTCAGGAGGCAATTAGGGAACAGCGGCCCCCAGGGCCAGAACCCCCTCCTGGGCCGGTCTGATTGACTGGAACCTCATCTTCCTAACGGGCTGGCTCCGCGCCACCAGTCAGAGAAACAGAGACAGAAGGGCCGATCAAATAGACAATCTCTGCTATAGTTCAGCCGCACATACAGACCTCCGAACAGCATTTTCAGGAATGGAGGAGTCCACAGCCAAGCTCTGAGAAACTAGATTTGTTTATTTTTAAGAACATTTTGTTTTAAAGTCAACTGTGAAAACGTCTAGGACACATTACAAACATAAAAACCACATTCTTTTTTTTTTTTTTCGACAAAAATAAGATCATATACGCATATTTTTTGCCCGTGATTGTCATATTGCTGTCTTACTTTGGCTTTTCAGTTGTTCAAACTGTGCAAATTACCTAAACATCATAGATGCAGTTTGTAAATTAATGTATGGCCCAAAGGTCTCAATATCAGAACTGTGTAAAACGACATTAAATGAAAAATAACTGAAATGTACAGTTTGATCAACTGTATAAAATCATAACATCTATAAACTCTCGTTCTCAACATCCGTACAAAACTAAGACAATCATTAGTAAGCATAGTTTGTTCAACAATTCAACCATCTCAAAAGTTTAATACACCCTCAAATCGTATCTAAAGGTCCGAACCATTATTAGTCAAACACAGCTATATGTATTTTATTTTGCTACAGAACTCTGGCAACATGAACTGAGTGAGTTTCCTTTCAAAAAATAAGCAGCAAATCCCACTTGCGTGTTTGTGGACAATGAAACGGTCTGTTTTGATTGCAAAATATTCTCTTAGTGATCCAAAAGGCCACTAAAGCACGGCGCCGATGTTTAATATAATCTATCATCCATTTTGATTGGTGTCTTAGAGTGACACTCTCTGACCATCAATCCCTATAAGAAGTTGAAACAAAAAGTTCCGATTTGGATCAACTGGTCTAAACAAAGGGAAAGTCATTGTGGGGTGGGGGCTGATAGTTTCCCCTTCTGCTCCTTCGCACGTACAGAAGATGGATCTGCCAAAAATATTCGCCTCTAATGCACACTGAGGCGTACAAACTTCTCCACCAGACTAATCGTTTCTGTCCCATGTCCATGCCGAGGGATTGCTCATGAAATCTGCTGCCTAGAGGTCCTTTTTTTTCAACCAATGACCATATTTATATTGTATGTCAACCCAAAACATCAGGAGCAGGCCTTCGGGAAGAAGTGTGAATTTGTAGACAGAGGTCGTGTGATGCCATACACACCCTCATATTCACATTTCAGTCACTCTGGTACCACTCGGAAATTGTTTAACCCTTTGAGTAGTATGGTCCTACATGTGGGATTGCAATTGTTGTGCTCCTAGGAGTAAAGTCCTATCTATGGGATTTGAAATACAGAGTTTAATATGTAAAATTTTAAACCGGCAACTCTTGAAGCTTGAAGGGTCGCCGTGTAAACTAAAACGAAACACAGTGTAAAGTTCTAAAGTTGTTTTGAAAATTCTCTCCAGGGACACGCTTGAGATATTCCAAACTCACCACTGAAAATGATAACGCAGTAAAAGACATATGAAGAATTGCTTGTAAATGTTTCATCCTCAAGACTCAACAGTTTTCATCGGAAGCTTGCATCCAGTTGCAGAAAGAATAAATATAATGGCACAACTTGTTTTTGCTGCCCCAAAATATTCTGACCCAGAGAACAAGTGAACCGTCCGATGCAAGTTCTTGATTTGACAACAGAAACACAAAGGCTTACAGTCAAAAGAGAGACGTCTTAGCACATGGGTTGCCAGGTTTTGTCCATAGACTGGATATGCTCCTTGGCTTTCATCCTCAGTGCGGCAATGCTTGAACTACGTTGATCTACATCCTCCAGAGGGTATTTGTCGGTGAAGGGAGGAGGGCATTGGTATGGAGGTGGCGCCATGGGCTGCATGCTTTGTGCCATGGGTTGGGGTGGGCTGAGGAAACTGTGACCGGGATAGCCCGTTTGCAGTCCTTGTGTAGGACCCATGAACCCTGGGATGCTGTGCACTGGAGTGGCACTGGATAGAGGCGAGGGCAGCCAAGGGTCGAGGGGTAGCGAGTTGTTCATGGGCCCCACGGTGGGGTGCATGGACGGGCGGTTGAAGGAGAGCATGGGGGAGTCATGGAGCTTCATGGTGCTCGCGTCTATTTTTTCCTGACGCCTCCATTTGGCTCTGCGATTCTGGAACCAAACCTGGATAAACACATACACTTGTAGATCATCAATTTTGTTATGGCAGCACAACTTAACACACTTACATCTAGGTTTCAAATAAGCTTGAAGGACTCAATTAGTTTGATCAGGTGTGTTTAAGTAAGGTTAAAGATAGGGCCTTCAAGGAACTGGGTTTACAACTGTGCGTCTTGGCAATCTTGTGCCAATAAGATGGTGCTCCATGCTAAGATCAGCATGAATGCAGGTTAATGTTCCTTTAAATTCTTGTTCTTCCCAAAGAAGATACTTGACCTAACTCTGGCACGAAATTTTCTGTGGTCAAAGAGTATAATCATTAGAATGTGGTTCAAAAACTTAGATGAGACATTCATTCTTTGATTGGAATCTTGTATCTTATTGACCTTATTCTAAAATGCGGAAGTGCGCCTGTTTTCACGATTGTCTTAGAACTTCCGATTCAGTCGCCAATGGGAGAAATGACTAGGAATAATAAACGGCAGAAAAAGGTCAAACTACTTGCTCTACAAACAAATGTTTGCATGACTATACAGACTAAGTAGAATAATATAAGAAGAAAATATCAAATTGCAACATCAAGCAGCGTAATGAGAAGTTTTTAATGTCTAAAAATGAATGAAAGTGAATGAGACCGGAAGTCTCCAGCCAAAAAGATTCAAATGGCAGCGCCCACTCGTCGGCGGAGAATAAGGTCAATAAGGTTGTCATCTAACGTGGTCTTGAACGTGGGCTAATCGCAGCAACACACCAAAACATGTGGCCTTATCAATGAGTTAATACACACCTGCACTCGAACTTCAGGAAGATTGACTTTCATGGCTAGCTCTTCACGACTGTAAACGTCAGGGTAGTGTGACTTCTCGAAGGCTCGCTCAAGCTCATGGAGCTGGTATGTGGTGAAGGTGGTGCGGTTGCGGCGGTGCTTTTTTTTGGGCTGCTCCCCATCGGCTGAATCCGGAGACTTGCTGTCACTCTCGATGGCTTTCCGCAGGTCCCCCAGGTCCCCATCACATTTGTTGGAGAACATGTCGGCATCTAAAACCACAAGGGATACAACACATGACTTTTCACTTGATGTTCAGAGCATATTGCAAGACTTTGATTTCACTAGAACAACCTGGGTTAAAGGGATAGTCTCTTTTGGAGTTTAAAGGCAGTTTCTATTTTCTGTCGGAAACAAAATAAGATATTGTGAATGATGCTGGAAACAGGTAGCATTTGACATCCATAATAGTAATAAAATATGGAAGTCAATGGCTTCCAGTTTCTACAATTCTTCAAAACATTTTTTTTTTGTTCAACAGAAGAAACTAAAATTGATCAAGTGAAACAAGAGTGAGACGGTGTCAAAAGATAACAGACTTTTCTATCCCTTTAAGAGCCTGAATCGGGGGAACAAAGTTATTTTGAGGTTAAACAAGCAACCCTTTAATAACCAGGATTGATCCCTGTTCACCAACAGGCAACCAATTACTTCATATTGCAATAAAACTAAGTATAAACAAGATGACTGATGTGATCTTGGTTATTTACAGATGGCGACTGCATGTAAACTCATTACTGATATGGTATTTCCAAAACTGAGATTCTAATCCCGTAATACTCCAGGCCAAAATCTCTTGTATTACACAGGCTTGGACTAGAGCAGTTTTATTGTCAGCAACGTTTGCCCAGGCTTTCACTGAGGGTTTCCCATCCCATAATCCAAGCAGAAACAGATGTAGTCTGTTAATTCCCCTGATGGTTTCCCCGTAGACCAGGCCCTAATCTACCTAAGGGCTTCATTTGATTCTACCCCCATGTCCTCAACATAAGGTCGGTATTTCTAGGAAAGCTTTACCTTGGTGAACAGCAGAGCCACACTGGCAGCTGCAAAGCTAATTCAATTAATTCCAGCAAAAAGCTGCTCACGAGAGTTGGATTTGTTTACTGAACCTTCTGACACACAAGATGTAGTTGACAAGTTGATGCTGTCCAGCTCTAATCGAGCTCAGTACATGTGCCGACTAAACTTAACCATTGCTGCGGTGTTGTTGCCTACATGCAAATCAAATCGTGGAAGCTGTTAGCATTAGTGTTGCATAGCATTAGCTTCCTTATTCTACCTGTATAATGTTATATTGGTGAAATATGCCACTAGACTGACTCGGTTTGGTCTGCAAATTGGTGGAAATTTTGTAAATTGATTCAAAAGTGTCAAATGTGTTAGACTGTTCTCCAGATTACCAGTTTAAAGTCACGAATACACCCCAAGATTGACATTTTGTTAGGTCTGAAAATTGGTGGAAAGATGGAAAATGAATTCTAAATGGTAAAATGTGTTACACAGCCACAGGAAGAAACTAATTTGCCAAAATCAACAATCAAGCTTAGGGTGGGGAATTTTGATACATGAATGACTAAAGATGTTTCAGTTGATCTTTGCAAACTTCTGTCTAAATTTTGTCATCGTTTTCAAGGGTTTGTTTAAAACCAACATAACATGTAAATAGTCTTGCAAATGCTGCAAGTTCTGTAGCAGGTAAGATAAACCAATGAAAAGGACAGAGAAGAGACCATTTATCATTATTGTGTCCTTGAGCAGGACACTTGACCACAGGGTTAAGCTTCCCAGGGTGACTGTCCTTGCAATCAGCACATGGTGAGTTCACTTTGGGAAACATATGGACTTAGCCTTTCTGGCTGCCTGAATAATGTGTAAATAACACAGGTAATAATACAATTTTGGTTAGCTAAACTACCCTACAAAGCCATCAAAGTGAGCTATAAATCTGGTATAAAATGGGCTTCGCGACAAAGTCTCCTAGTTCAATTTTGTCCCATAACAAAGAACCGAGTCTTAATTTGCTGTAACTACAAAATATAAGCACATGTACAAAGTTTTAATAGATTTTTTTTTTTTTTGTCATAGACACTGCACTTTGCCTTTGTAGGGCAGTATAGTGATTACAAGAAACAAGGCATGAAAACACCACTAACTTTGGTGACATTAAAAGGACTTAATTACCAAGCAGGAACAAGCGTTCTGGGTTAACAGAGCAAGCATCATTAACAGGCAATAGGCTGAACTCAGACAATGGTTGGGGGTCAATACTGGTTCAAGGATCAGCACACCGCCTGTCAGATTCAAGACAGCCCAACAAAAATGCTCAGACGTGCTGGCAACTCATGTCAAATGAGGACAATCGATCTCTAAGGCTCACGCCATTCAGAAAGATCTTGACCCTTCATGATAACAGACAAGTCAACTCTGGGTCATGCAAGAGATTCTCTCATCTCAGGACTGAGAAGCATGTTGGATTATGAGCACAAATGGAAAAAATGGCGCAGAATGGAAAAGTGATTAAGTTGGCATGCACATTGGTGCAATCTTGTTTAAAAGTAGATTATGGAAATTCCACAAGGGGATGAGAACCAGGGATGAGCTCCCTTACCATATGATGTTCAGGTTTGAAGGGCCTTGTGAAGAAATGAAAATATGATTGCTCTATTTAAACTACCCTCAGAATATTATCACGGCCAAATAGTACACCCAAAATGGACAATGTCATTACATCCATAACAACTGGACATCCCATGCTGTCACCTGAGATACCTTACCCCTTCCTAAAAGACCAAATGATCAGAACATAATGGGTGTCTTCTACCTTGGTTCCTCCGACAAGTGTTGGTGACGCATTGACTTCTCCAGCTTGAAAGCGCAGCAGCCAAGCTAAATGATTGTCCTCTAGGGTGTACCCAAATTGTTCATTTTTTCCATTGCGTTAATGGAAACTACGAATGACGTGGTGGCAGAATTCATCTAGGTAACTGTGCCATTGGTTTTGTGAGTTACGTAAAGATGCGTCAGACTTTAGGTTTAGGTCTCTTAAGTTGACGCTTGATGCTAATTCCCTGGCAAGATGCCGATATTACCTCAAAATACAAGGTGACAAAATTTCTGAGATGCTATCCCGGGACATGTTTTTGTTCAATCGTCAAGATACTATTGAAATCTCAATTGTGATTATCAATATAGTTACATACCCCTTGTACATATGCAGAGTTTTTTAGAAAAATACTAGTACATTGCTGTGAAGAGATCACATGTGAACAGGCCCTTTTTAAATATTCTGTAAAACTTGGTAATTTTTTGTAACATTACCAATAACTTCACATTTTAACTTTCCAGGTGAAGTAATTCCTGTGTTTTTGCTGTTATTACTGTATAATAGTTTCAAAAATGGGGACAATACACATTTTTAGATTAACATTTTTCTTATCAAAATGGCTCTAATTGGAGACAAGATTACCATGACCCATGGAAAACAGGGACATCTTGGCAACCTACCTTAAATGTTTGTGCAGTCCCTGGATTTTAGCAACTGTGTGTTTCCATCCCAAAACGTTAGCTAAGCAATAACTTTATGCAGTGAACACAACTTACATCTCAACAAGACTTCCATGAAGGACTTACCGTGAAATGTAGGTTGCTCCGATCCATCCCTAAGGGGTGGCAGATGTCCGTAAGGTTGAACCCGTTGGTCCAGCTTTCCTGGTTCTCCAAGACTCTCCCCTCCAACTTTGTGTGCTACAGCATTGGCTCCAGGGTTGAGCAACGAATCCTGGTCCTTGTTGAAGCCCAGGATCACATCTATGCTGTGGACACGAGTGCCAACCACTGCGCCCCCAGCTTTGACCATATCATGGAAATTACTGGGCGAAAGACAGCTGTCATCCACCATGTTCATGGTGTCCAGTGACAAATGCATTCGATTGCTGGGATAAGGCCTTCCGATTGATAAAACCAACTTGATGTCTGTTGGAGGAATCCAAAACGGGCCTGTTTTACCTTGTTGGACACATCGAAAAGAGAGACTAATATCAACATGTGCGCTGGTTTATTTAATACAAGTTCTAGATAGTAATGTTTTGGTTAAGCAAGTTCAAATGACGTTATTTCTACAGAGAAGATTCCCCGCAAATCTAAAAATCGATTTGACTGCCCATAATAGCAATATAAAGATATAAAGAATTAAATATAGAAAATGTCATTAGTAAATATCACAACCTATAAAAATGCACTATACAACATTGCCATTCACCAAAAACTAGTTATCTAGGAATATACCCAATACATTTATTATTAACATATAATGTATGTTTGTTTATTATTAAACAATTTAGTCTCGAATTAAACAAAATCCATGATTTAGATTCAAATAAGAATGACGCCAAAAAAGTAGCACAGAATGTAACAGAAAGAGGAAACTTTCCCCAGGACAGAGCGAGCGTAGTATGGCACGTACCTCTGGCAGGAGATGCTCCGTTTGCTCTCCGTCTCCAATCTGACCTGCATCCACCTGTTTCTCCCTAAGCAATGGGTCACATGCGGGTGTTGAGCACGCCTCCGTCTGCTACTGTACGCTCCCGACTGACCTCCACCGCTCTCACTTTAAACATGAAAACATATACAGTCGCGCAGAAGAAGTTCTCCAGTGGATTCCGCTGGACAGACTGCTGGTGTGTGTGTGTATGTGTGTCTCTTCGGAAGGGAAATAATAGCTAGGGATTACAGGAGCTCATTAATTGGGACTCTTCCCCCTTAAGAATGATTGACAGACGGTTTCTGCTCAAGTAATTGCTCTAAATGGAGCTTGAATTCACCCCACAGGAGGAGGGCGACACTAATGAAGCCGTTTCTCCTTGCTCTTACAGAATTCAATTGTTTTAGAGACAAAAGGACGAACTGAAAGTTTTCACTGATGCCTGTACTGTTGAAGGAAAGGCCTTTCATTGGGAAGCTGTTGTTGGCTATTACGCGGAAATATAAAAGTTCCGATAACATTTTTTTTTAGAAGCATGAACAAACTACATAACAATAGTATTGAAAGAATATTGACCGTTTTAATTTCTATGCTGACTCACCTAATTCCTCCATTTTTAGATTCGTTTCTTGGTGTGTTTTGTGATAAAACGAAAAACAACATTGAAAAAGGCATGATCAAATATTACGATACATGAAACATACGTAAAATGTGCATTGTATTAATGTGCGCATTGCTTGCCTCTCAGCTGGTCCGACAGTAAATACCCAATACTATTATGTGAGGAATAATTAGCCAAGTAATTAAAGTAAACAACATGAGCGCAGACTCATTTAACAACTCATTAAAGAGTTAACCCAGGCAAACTCACGAGTGATCGGTGCTTATTAAGAGATACAGTATGACCTCAAAACAAGATTAACTGGCTCCCGTTCACATGAACCCACGTAAATAATCGCACTGCTTCCAGAAAAGTGACTTGTAAACTGCGGTCCATTGCTAATTTCTATACAATACAGTAAACAATATAGATTTTTATACTATACTATAGATTTTTACATCTAATATGGTATTTCGTTAAAGAATTGATTGATAAAACATTGATCTGAAGTTATGAAATCTAACAAAGTGTTTTAGCATTTGGCGTCTTATTTGTTGCTTTTGGACTCAATCATTGGGAGAAGTCTAAATCCTTTATGGGCTAATAGAAGTTGATCACCAACACCTCAAATGAGGCTAAAGGCTCTGAAGATTTCCTCTGACCTCAATGAGGTCTTAAGATACTTTAAAGCAGCTCACTTAATGTATTTGTTTTGGGTCAGTGTTAGTAAAGCTAATGCTGCAAGGTTAAAATAATGCTCTAAAAGTTTGGTAATTATAAACCTGCCATAATGTGGTTAAATGCATCTTGTGACCTCTTGTCTTCAGAATTGGTTCGGAGACTTTGCTTTGACCTCATTCTAAACGAAAGGGGCTAAAGGCCCTAATATTCTTCAGTTGGAATTGAAGAACAAACTAAAATGATGACATTTCGAACAAAACCTGGCCAAAACAAAGTTTATTTTCAGTTTGTTTTGGCAATTCTCTCAACAGATCAAACTTATTGGTGGAGGTGTTTTAGCGCTTTTACAATGTAGATTGTGTCAAAGCAGCTTAACGTAGAAGTTTTGTAAATTGAAACTGTTTTAGTCCACTTTTCAGAGTTGATGTTCAGTTTAGTTCAGTTCAGTGTAGTTTAATTTTCACTCATGAAAGTCCAAATGTAACCCAGCGGTCCTACTGCACCCAAGCCAGTCTGAGCTGGGATCGAACCAGCAATTCTTTGTATGGGAATCGGTTGCTCTAACCTAAGCCTAAAGAGGCTAAGTGTCTGTCGCTAGAACACCTTTGAGGTCAGAGGAGTGAGTTATACCTGCATAGCACTTTGCTAGCTGGCCCCTGTTACACTCACCCCCCTAAACCTCACTCCCATCCCGGACGAGCCCCCAAATATATCCCATCAGCCCTACTGCACCCAAGCCAGTCTGAGCTGGGATCGAACCAGCGATTCTTTGTATGGTAGTCGGTTGCTTTAAGAAGGAGGCTAGACCATAGCCTCTAGCATCTGTCGCAAGAGCACCTTCAGAGGAGAGAGGTATACCTGCAAAGCACTTTGCTAGGTAGCCTTCATTACACAAACACTAAAGAGCAAATCCAACACTGTGTAGCTTTACAAGTCCCAAACCAAGCAAGCTAGTGACAACAGTGTTGAGTAACAAACTTCACCAAGTGACGAAAGTGAAGGAAAAAAAGTAACCTTGAGAGAAAGCAAGTTCAGATGGGCTGACCATTTCTTCTCGAGGCTGGAGAATGCTGGACGTCCATCGTAGAGAAGTTTAGGTCTAGTTTAAACCTAAACACGCACCCAAACCCCAGAGTTTCCACTTTTGCTGATCTTCAAAACACGTGTACAGAATTCATACAGAAACAGCATCTATTTACCAACATGGAGCGCATCTGACAGTCACGCACTGCTACATGATCTGACTGATTTGAGGATTGTAACGTGCCTGTAATGAAAAGGACGGTAATCCCAACGTTTTTAGATTTATTTCAAACTGTTTTGAAGCCTAAATAAAATTTAGATTTAACAGCAAGTTGCGCCCCCTGGTGGTTCGGCAATACTGGGAGGAATATATAGGGAGGATTGGCTATTTCATGATGTTTATTGCCACCTTTCATCGAAAGATTAAAAATACGGGAGAAATATGGAAAAACACCTTAAAAGAATGATAGCAGGATAGAATGGGAAAATATGGGAAAATCCCAGGGAAAAAAACGGGAGGGTGGACAGGTATGTCCTAAATACATCTGAGCAAATGGTGATTATTTATTTAGTTGGTGTGTTCTGGCACTCTGTCATGTGTTATTAAATCATATCTCATATCCATGGAGGTCAGACAGGAGAACAACATCCAAAACAACATCAAGTTGGCAACATGATAAACTGGAGAGTCGAGAAGCAGAGCTGGTACGGATGCATCCAAAGCTGTATGATCACTCATGGAGAGATTTTAAAGACTCGGACAAGAAGCATCGACACGTTATGTGAGGTCTTTTAAAATTTGAAACGTTGTGTGGCAAGGGGGCAGGACAGAAAGCCATGGGAACAAAACAAGGCCGGAGCTTGAGTGAGAGTTCTGCGGAGGAGCTCTGGATTATAAGAGGAGTGACGACAGAATTACGAGGCTGTTTAAAATTATTACATTGGTGCCGAAAACTGGGAAGGAAGGAAGGAGTCACCCCGTTTACCGGACACAAAGACCTGCTACCGTCCACCAAGATGAGGAGGCCAGGAGACACAGGACTTACTGTCGTAGACAGAGTCAGGGGAAGTCCCCAGATCTGCCGACTGCCACGTAGGGGCAGAGCAGAGAGAGAAAGGAACGGGGGGCTCACAGCTGGGTACCCAGATTCAAGAGGAGCCATCACCTGCCAGCCAGAGGTGGGGCAGCGTGGAAGGACATCCACTGAGGAGCTTCCAATGCTGTGGTCGGGCCCGCGAATGAGGGTCTCTCAACTAGTGGAGGACCAAAATGCAGCATGTGTTGAGAATCGAGCCCAAAATCGGCCTATTTCTTATAGGTCTGGGGGATGCCGTAGCGCCTGTCGTAATTCGACTTCTTATCAGTTAGAAATGATCAGACCGGAGGTTTTGAATATCAGAAAATAGACTTTATTCTCCATAATAAAGCCGAGAAAGAGCAGAGCAGACCTCATAGCATTCTCCTCCTCTTTCTCTTACTCTTTCTAAAGTCTCCCCTGCTCCTTCTAAAGTCTCTGTGTTTTCCACAATCTTTATACAGGTTATTTTCCACACCCCTAGGTGTCTTGTTTTAACTCTTGACCATATTTTAATAGGTTTCTAGTCTAAGGGGTCCTGCTATTCTTGGCTCTCAGCCCACTAAATCATGTCAGCAGAGATGTTACAGGTCTATGTCAGCAAAGTATAGATGCAACTTATGCAAAGGAACTAAGTGTTTACATACATTGTCATGATAGGATAATAACTTGATAATATGTTACTCATTCTAACTTCTGACACATATAGCTTCATACAAGTATTTAACATATATAATCAGTGCTTTACATATTCTACACAATCATTCTTCAGCATAGCTTTCTCCTAGTGTTGCTCCTGTGCAGACATACTCATCTTACACAGACACATCACTGTATTTTTAACACACGCTGGCATGTTTGCTGCAAACACTCCATACATCATGAGAAGAGAAAATTAACTGCTTTACACTTAGAAAATACTTCACACAGAGAGAATAAAATCTTCTTCACGCCCAATTTCTGCGAAGAGCAGCCGTCTGTTTGTTTTATTTCGACGGCAGTCTCCATGAGAAGCTCCTGTCTTTCAGTTTGTTTGTTTGTTTTTTCTTTAATAAATTATTTAAATTTCAGCGGTTTTCCGTCTCGCCAAGAGGCCATTTAAAATCATTACACATTGTATTTGCACTTAGCTTAGAACTGTCATAACTGTGTTTGTCCACCAGATGCCACTGTAGTTCGCCAGCAACCCCAGCGGACTACAGTGGCTTTAGAACTACATTTCCATACATTCTTTCGCACACACACCTGGTCTCTCATCTACACTGATTTACAACCACAGCTGTCTCCGTTCTCTGTGATTACCTGGACTATATATTCAGTCATTCATCCTCTGTTTGTCAGTTGGTCGTTGTCATTGTTGATATGTTGTTCCTGATCTTGATCTTGCTCTTGCTATTGTATCTTGTCTTAGTGTCCAAGTTTAATCTGTTTGAGTTGTTTGTTTGTTTGTTTATTTTGTTAATTTGTTACTTTGATTTTTGGATTTTGTCACTGTTGCTGCACTTTCACATTAAAGATCTGCACTTGGATTCTACACCCGTTTTTGTTCCTGTTTCAATCCTGAAACGTGACAGAACGACCAACTCAACAATGAATCCAGCAGATAATGTGATCGTGCTGATAAAACAACGTAACCGCTCTATCGAGCGTTACGTTAAGGAGTTTTTGGAGCTAGCCCCAAAGAGCTCTTACAGTGACATGCTGCTTATGATGTTCTTTCGGGGAGGACTTTTGGAACCAGTCCGCTCCCTCATGCCACCGTATGAGGATGACTGGAACCTTTATCGGTTCATCGAGTT